TCTGTCGTGTGAGAGATTCAACCGCAGCATCACGTCTGTCGTCAGCCGTGTCGGTCCTCTTTGGCGGCATCGTGGATCGTATCTGGTCTCTGGATACCAACTGATGTAGCGCAGCGTTAACGAACGGGAAGAAGAGATAAAAATCTCATAATTTCTTACGTTTTATTCATCAAAAGCCCCGTCTGAGCCTTAGAAAACAGATATAAATAGAGTTCTAAACAGTCTAAATACCTATCTTGCTAGACAAGTAAATACCCACTAAAATAATTATTTTCCTACCAACTTAATAACATAAATAAAGAAAATAATAATAAAGAAATAAATAATCAAGCTACTAAATAATTAAATTAAAACTGGGATTGGATCGTATTTTTCCAGAAAAGCAAGTGCGATCTCGTCTCCATCACAGCCACACTACCCCACCCCAGCCGAATTACAGTGAGTTGCCCCGATCCCAATGGGGCGAGAGTTTTGACGTGATGGAGGCCCGCCATTGTTCGGGGCCTGACTTCCTCCACCCTCCACCCGCACCACCGGATTCACAGTGACTAGTCTAGTCATTGTGCCCTGTACGTTTGTATCTTTTCCCTTCTTTTTATTTTTGTTTTTGCTTTAGTTTTTCTGTCTTGGTTTTTCTGTTGATTGATTATATGAGTTAACTTTCCTTGCATTTAAGATCGACAATGAGGACATTGTTCGATGTTAAGTATGGGGGAGTTTTTACATGATTATGTGCTTATATGGTTGATCAGGTCTAGGTCCTTTAGGTTGTTTTCTTTTCTGTTTTATTGTCTTTTCTTGAGTCAGCTTGTGTGTTTCTCGAGTATGGATAATAGTAATTTTGAGATTTGTCGAGAATTGTTGATGATGTTGAGGAGATGTGATGATGATCATGATTAGTATATTTTGATGAACTTGATGTTGCGTTTTGTTGGACATTTATTTACCTTATGTGAGGGTTTGAGCCTTATTTTTTTTCTTGAGAGATATTGGTCGGATTCTTGTTGATCAGAACTTGCTTGTGGTCTGTTTTGAAATGAATTGATTTAGTGATTTGTGAAGATAATTGAGACATTTCTTTGACATTGCTCGTTTAGCCTTTTTCATTGACCCTTGAGATTATATTTCCATTAATAGCCCGTTGAGTCTTAAACTGTATTTCTTGTCAACCGATTTGATTGAATTATTTGAAGATTTGACAATGAATTTGTTATGATGACGGAGCTCTTAATATGTGTTTAGAGAAGGCATATAATTTGTTTGAGTTGCAT